CATGGTTCTAGTGCTTTCGAAATGCAGTTTACAAATATATAAATCTTTTCTGTAATACATTAAATATCGAAAGTTGATGGTAATTTTCAGAGACGGAAGTATGGTATAACAAACAATAACAGACCTTGGTTACTTGGAGAACGTAATTTTTTGTATGAAAAATGCTCGAAAAAATGTGCTTGCTTGGCAATATATTTATAATAGTGAGCCAAAGCCACAGAATAAAAATCAGTACCAGAAGGGCCACTCAGCAGTGCAACGTGTCACCATTTTTCTATGCAAAAATATGCAATTGACTGGCCAGGAAGATGGCGGCCAGCCAACACAGCGTGTTTATTGGCCAGAAAATGTAATCGACTGGCTAGGAAGATGGCGGCCAGGGGGCCTTTCTGTGTGCCTTATTCTGTGCCAAAGCCCTTAAGCCAGCGTCGTTTTTGTCAACATGACTAATCTTGGCAGCATCTTGTATCGTAGTGCTCGTGTAAAGGTGGAGTAATACGGGCAACAATAGACAACTTGCATGTTTATAGACTAATTTTTGATTTAGGCAAAAAAAAGAAAATTCTCGTAAAGAACTTATTAATTTAAAATCAGTAAAATTGCAAAAATTGGTTTAATACGAAATGTTGTAAAATACAGAAAATACAGCCTTGCGAAGTTTGCATATTTTCAGTATGTCTGTATTGGGTAGCACTTTTTCCATCCAGCAAACCGCCCTATTGATTTTGTAAAGTTGTTTCTTTTTGGATTTTTTTATTAATTCGGTTAGGGTTAGAGTTGGGGTTGAGGTTAGGGATTCTAGTAGGGTCTGGGTAGTTACATAGCCATTTAATTAACACCTCTTCTATCTTGCGAAAATGACGTCAGGTCAGTTTGCTGGATGGAAAATAGTGCTGAATGACACCATGTTGTCTTTCTCAAGCAGACGCCTTAATTAAGGCCGTAATACAAATATACTGAAAATATGCAAACTTCGCAAGGCTATATATTTTCTGCATTTTACAACATTAATTTTGCAACCAAATTTTGCAATTTTTCTAATTTCATTATTTTCGTTTTAACTTTCGTTTTAACTAAAAAATCCTAAGAATACGAAGAATACGGCAATTTCCAAGGAAATGCGCTTCAAAATGTCAGTGAAAATCCTGTTCTGCGAGATGCAAAATCTGAAAATTTTCTGGGGGAGGACCCCCAGACCCCCTGGTTATTCTCCTTCGTGTTAATCTAGGTAAACTCTTCGTTTCTCCCCTTTGATAATTCAGCTCCTGCAACGTCCATGTTCCTTCTAGAACAAGAAATACCCGGTTATTCGAGATAAATTACTATAAAATCAGTTTTAAATTAGGTAAAATTCAATGATTTTTATTGCAAGGAAATTTTTTCAAAAATAAGGAAATTTCGAACGAGTGGAAGGAAATTATGATTTTTGAAAATGGAAGCACTGACAAAAACATAAATAAGGCCAACAAAGAGCCTGGGAACGAGGTTGAAATAAGGCAAGGTCAGCAGTATTACTGTAAGCTGGGGTTTATATTTATAGCCAGTCAGCATAATTGCAATGCAATATTACTGTAAGCTGGGTTTAAGCCATTAGTCAGCAGAATTAAAATGCTGCATCAGAAGATTAATAACAACATGTCCACTGTATAACTTGCATGCACATCAGTTTTTAGTGTTAATACATTGTGAACATTTGTGAACTCTATAAGCATTCATCAGAATATTGGTAAGTATTTAAAAAGACTGCTTCAAATGTAGAAGTTTGATACTTGTTCAATTTTGATAATTTCATGCAAATACAAAATTCCATAATTAGGGACTTTGGTGACTAGAGCTGTGCGCTGGAGTGTCAGAGCCGGAGCTCTGGCATATTTTTAGAGTTGGAAAACTCCGGCAGACAAAATTATGAAAAATTATTTCATATTTCAACGAACATTTGGCATTAAATGGGAAAATTAAGTTGTTGTTTACTAATATATTACTATTTATATGTTGTTTTCTTGTATATATTAAGGTGGAGTAATACGAGCAACAAAATTGCTGCAACTAGCAACAAAATCTGATTTCAACGCATGTTAATTGAAAATGTTTACACATACATTACAAATCACGAGGCAACATATGTCAACATCTCTACTTAACATGCGTTGAAATCAGATTTTGTTGCAAGTTGCAGCAATTTTGTTGCTCGTATTACTCCAGCTTTACTATGTGGTTTACTATTAATAGTGTTGTAAAAAGGTTTTTAATTTTTAAAGATAAATTCTGAAATTACACTGAAATACTTTTGCCTGCTTCCATTTTTAATTAAATATGGAATTTCCTTAAAAATTTCTTGCCGGAGCCGGAGTTTTCACTGCCGGAGCTAAAATAACCGGAGTTTGCACAGTTCTATTGGTGACACACTCGTCAGACCAAGCGCCTCTCACCTCTGAGTTTGTGAGTTCCATTCTCACTAGTTACGGACTCATGTGAAAAGAGTCGGTCAATGCTCTTCTGAAAATCATGGATTTTCTCCCGGCCGGTGCTCCAGTTTCCTCCCACAGGGCACAGGCAGTGCAATAAAATCGAAATTATGCCCCCCCCCCCCCTCCCTTTACGTTTTGCACAACTAATAGCTGTTAATGTAATTTATTTTTTGGGCTAAGTACCGAAATTTGGTATGAAAAATTGAGATAAAGGACCTGGAAACCAATTGCAATCATGGGACAAATTCTGTAAATTTTGTGGTTAAGTGATGTTTCGAAAATTTTTGTTAGGTTTCGGAAAAATTTGGTTCGTCCGGAAAAAATTTTGGACCCTTAAAATGGTACACTGACCGAAATTTTTTTGGCGACGGGGGGGGGTTCTCATCTCAAACCCTCTGTTAGATTCTTTCTGCAGTGCCCCCCCAGAAATTGAGAGCCAGCTACGGGCTTGAGGCAGTGATATCAAGTATATAACGAAGTAATTGTACTTCGTTACTACTTGAGTACAATTTTTGAGAATTCAGCATGTAACAAAGTAAACTTTTTCTGGAGTACTTTTATTTGGAACGAAGTCGTTTTAAGAAGTAACGTTTTACTTTGTTACTTTCATTTTGTGGCGAAGTATTTCATTACTTTCTAACTTTAGTTTAGTTTTACGTGATTTATTTCAATTTCGGGATAGGTAATATGACCTCTACATGCGTCTCTAGGATCTCTTGTTTATAAGCATTATTTATTTAATGGATTTCTTATATCTCCGACGGAGGTCTGGAAAGTAGTCTGAGACCATGCCGTGAAATATTGTATAATTTGGTGCATGCCAACATGATCTCTTCTCAACATTAAGGCTATGTCTTAATTGTAAACATTTTGAAAATTAAGGATATGAAAAAAAATGAATGAAAAAAAAATGATATGAATGAAAAAAAAAAGGTCGCCAGATTCGGATTGGATTAGGGTTAGACTAAGATTAGATTAGGATTAGCAGTTAGGGGTTGGGGGTGGGGGTTATGTTTAAAATTAAGGCAATGTCTTAATTTGAATGCTTTTTACAATTAAGACATAGCCTTAATTTTCGGAAGAGATCGACCTGTGCACGCATATAATGTGCTGTTTTGTGTCTTTTGTATGTCAATCCATTGGAGAAGTCCCTCCCCCCCTCCCCCTCTACACGCTACAGACAATAGTGCTTTTACTTTTTACTTCAAGTATTTTTTTAAGGACACTTTGCACTTTTTACTTAAGTACGTTTTGCTTCCAGTACTTTTTACTCTTACTCAAGTCGTTTTATTTTAATTACTTTTACTTTTACTCGAGTACAAATTCAAAGTAATTTAGGCACCACTGCCCACAGGGAATTAGTTAATGGTATGGGTTAGGATAAACACTGAAGAAAGCAATATCACAATTGTTGTAAAGATAAAATAGTCTAGGCTAAATATATAATTGCTAGGTAATCACGATGTAAAGTGCGTTTTATTATATCCACAGTCAAAGCATCCCCAGGTCAAAACATCCCCAGGTCAAAACATCCCCAGGTCAAAACATCCCCAGGTCAAAACATCCCCAGGTCAAAACGTCCCCAGGTCAAAACGTCCCCAGGTCAAAACGTCCCCAGGTCAAACCGTCCCCAGGTCAAAACGTCCCTAGGTCAAAACGTCCCCAACTCAAGTCGAAACGTCCCCAGGTCAAAACGTCCCTAGGTCAAAACGTCCCCAACTCAAGTCACAATGTCCTCATGTCACAATATCCAAAATAAAGTCAAATCTGTTGGCTAAATGTCAGATATTCTGTCAGTTTTAAAGTAATTTTAAACTATTTTCACACATAATATTTTTGGATTTCTTCTGATCTGATCAAGGAACTAAATCAACCACGGTTTGATATATTCAACCAGGGTCAGATAGTTATGATTTTATTAGGTGATGTATGCATCATGACAGTTTAAATTTACTAACACTAAAACATTCTGAAATCTTGGCACTATTACAATTATTTGCAAATAAGTTCGTTGCCAAATAAAGCAATTAATTCAGAGTTACATTCTCCCATGTGTCGCATAATTTGGAAAACTTGTGTCGTAACCCTATGTCTATGAACATGTTTATTCTTTTATAGTTTAGTTGCAGTTCAATTTATTTGAACACAAGAGTTAGGGGTTAATTTTTGGCCTGGGGACGTTTTGACCTGGGGTCGTTTTGACTGCGCAGAGTCGGGGACGTTTTAACCTGGGGGCATTTTTTTGCACTATAGAAATGCTAATTATGGTAATCGTAGTCATACTACGTCGTACTTTAGCGGAAATTAGCAAAAATTTGTCTTGCTTTCTTGGGCAGAGTAAATTGAATGTGTATAATTATAGCTCATTGTATAATTTTTCATGATACATAACATAATTCATTGGCAGAGTTACACTGGTTTTGCTGCTTTTCATTGAAAAATTTAGCGTTAAAAAGGTTTTGTCTGAACAGCACTGTTCGAAAACTGGGCAACATACTGAGTTTACAATTCTTAATTTTTAGTGTTTGAAAAATGGCACAGAATCACCAAACTCCGAATCACCAAACCCCCAATCAACAACCAGAACCAATGGAGCAGAGCGACAACATCTCTCAAAGTGAGAAAATACGGAAAGACCAAGTTGAGAACAGTGCAAAAGGGATGGTATGGCTAGTCGATGATATAAATAGACTCCGTCGCTTCTTGGTGCTCGGAAGTGAAATACCTACGTACTATATCGGGCAAAGGGAGCTTGGCATAGAGAATGCAAAAGCTATAGTGCGTCTTTTTGAAGCCGGGAGGGGCGTAGAGGTTGTCAGTGAAATTTTAACTTTCAGTCTCGAAGGACGAACGGCAAAGCAGAATTCAATTATGCTTGCATTGGCAATGTGCGCTCGTTTGGGTGATTTACCAACAAAGCGAAAAGCCTATGAGGTGATGCCACAAATCTGCCGCATTCCCACACATCTTTTCATGTTTGTCGATTTAAGTAAAAAGCTCAGCAAACCAACCACGGGTTGGGGTAGAGCCCCCCGCAAAGCAATCCAGAAGTGGTATATTGAAAAAGCGCCCATGAAGTTAGCAATGGCCTTAACAAAGTACCAAAAACGTGAAGGGTGGTCACACGCTGACGTCGCACGAGTCACTCATCTCAAGTCAGACAACCCTGCGATACAATGCGTTTTGAAGTATGCTGTCCGAGGTTTCGCCGAGATGTCGACAGCATTCCCAGATTCGGTTCAAAACAGCGAAGAACTTAACTCGGTGTTGAATTTCTTCAAAGCTGTTGAAGAAATGAAAAAGTTGACAAAGGACGATGCTGACAGGGTTGTGGAGTTAATTGAAGGACAGCAGTTGGTACGAGAGCATATCCCTACTGTGTGCCTCGGGTCAAAAAAGGTAACAAGGTTGTATGATTGTGTTGCATACCCTAACATTGGACTTGTGGCTATTCACTTCATCTTGTGTTCATGTGAACAATCTTCACAATTTTAACCCATTAAGTTTTAGTGCACCCTACTTTACTATTTTAGAAGAGAGTTATTGTAATGTTCTCGTGTCCATACTTTTTTCTAGAAGATTGCTTATATTCTTTATTCTAGAAGATTTTTGCGGCAATTTTTTGTCATCGATATGTCCTGTCACATGTGACTCGTCACATGAACAATGCTACAGTTATGTCGAATTTAAGTCTCTTGTGTTGGGGGCGGACCATTAGAAAAGTGATGAGGGGGTGGGGAAAAAACAAAAATAAAATTCGAGCAGGGAAAATAGAAAGAAAAAAAATTCGTGCACCAGAAATGTCTGAAAAAAAAATTCGTGCAGAGACTTTTCAATAGGGAAAATTACAGGGCCTATCAGAGGTACAGTGTAAGGATGTCCCCGAACTTTCGAAAATAAGCGTTTTAATTGTGTTTTAAGAAGTTTTTCGGGGAAAATGTGTTTTAAACCTTAATTGAACTGATGTTAGTCCGAAAAAAAATATTTTGACCCTATTTTTCTTTGTCCTGCAAAAATTTTTGAGTCCGGAAAAAAACGTGCCCTAATCGTTAGCCATAACTACACCCACCAAAAGGCATTCCTTCAAATGTTGAAGTTTTTAATAGAATTTGTTTTTAAGGTATGGGATGCACTTCTTAAGAAAATGCCAATGACAGCAATGATTCGTAATCTTAACAAGATGACAGCGATTGGCTTGCTTGAAGAAAACAATGAACAGGTGCAGTTAGTGTGTGAGAATTTGCGCAACGAAGACTTGCTGAAGAAGGCTCGTATCCACCCATTCAATGTGTTGCTAGCGTTGAAACAGTACGAATCTGGCCGTGGGGACAAGGGATCTCTCACTTGGAAGGCAATTCCGATCATTACCAAAGCACTGGAGGACGCGTTTTATTTGTCATTCAAGGTTGGTTGGGTTGTGCACTGTAAATCTGGGAGTGTTACCACAACACCAAAGTCGGTGTAAATTCTTGCCTCGATAATACTTTTCACCCAATGGCCTCGTTTTCGTGTCAAATACTTACTCATGTTTTGTGCTCATTATAGTAGGGTTGAAAATTACTTTGTTATTGAGCCTAAGAGCAGCAAGAAATAAATTCGTCCTAAAGTAAGTTAACATGGAAACGACGAGGCCATTGGGTAAAAGAGAATAATCGGTAAGGTCTATTGAATAAACTATATTACAAATAATTAGCAAAGTTGAAGGATTGTCTAGTTGCTGACTGTAAGCTCCATGGGCAAACTATTCTAAACCACTGCTCCCCTGTACTGTAGCTTAAAGATTTTTTCTTCAAATTTGTGTTTGGTTTAAGCGGTAAGAAGTCATGCCTTGAATGTCAGTTTGGTAGCTGCGAACTTCGTCAATACTTGGTCAATACTTGTCCTTAAACATTAAAGTTGCTAATTGTTCACTTCTGTTCTCAATTTCAGAATGTAGAACCGACAGGTAAACGACACATGTTGGCCATGGACGTGAGTGGATCCATGCAGTGTGGTGGGTGTGTCGGATCACCCAGTATTCAGCCTCATGTTGCTTCCGCTGCAATGGCGATGGTCACAGCTCGGACTGAAGATGATCATATATTCGTCGCCTTCAGCCACACAATTGTTCCAATGAACATAAATAGTCACATGAGATTGGAAGAAGTATTGAAAGCAGCGTCTTCGGTAAGTGATAAGGTTCAAATAAATACATCCAAGGTATTTGCAGTTCTTAGATTTTTATTTGAAATTTCGCGCATTTATAGGCCCGTTTACACTTGCAATTTTTCTTGCTATTTCTAGAGCGATTTTCTTCTTTTGATGGATGTGAACGAGTGGATGAGTTATAAATGTTCAGATGAAGGACCATGTACTCAGAACATTCATAACTCATCTACACGCGTAAAAATTGATCAGGTTGTTGCAACATTGTTCGCTGAACAACGTTGCAACAATGAGGTTATCATGGCTGAACAACGTTGTTCAAGCGACAATCGTTAACAACATTGTTCCAACAACTTGTTCACGCTTGATGAACGAACAATGGTTGTTGCAACATGATGGAACAAGCGTCAACAAGGTTGATGAAACATGCTTGATAAATGTTGTCAGAACAATGTTGTTCAGCGTTGTTCATTCATCAGGCGTCAACAATATTGTTCGAACAGGCGTGAACAACATTGATGAAAGAACAAGTTGTTTTTAGTTGTTCGAACAACCGTGAACAGCATTGTTATAAATAGACGGTAAAATAATGATTTGAACAACACGAAAACTTGTTTTTATTGGTTGTTTCGAAATCGCTGGGATGCAAAACGGACGAATGCGACGAATATCACGAGAGCAAGAAATCAAACGGGCTTTTACAGCAAAATAAATGTCATTTAAACTTTGTGGTTTTTTCTGAAGATTGAGGGGAAAATACTGAAGAAAAAAACTTGGTAAGTGTCTTGTTATGAGGTAAGGTTAGTTGTAAAAGCTTAAAACAACCCGACCTTTTGATTTTAGTCATTTTCATAGTGCACGACGAAGAAATGCACACGCACAAACTTTATAGTACTTTTATATAGGCATTGCATTTTGATATTTTTCTCTATATTTTCAGTATATATGAAACAAGAAACCACGGTCATACTGTACTAAAAGCCGTAATATAAACAAAACATTTAATTCTCAAAATATTGTTTAAATTTTTCCAATTACACTCTAAATTTCTGTCAGAGTCTTTTAACTTTGAAATTTGAATATGTCAAAAACGCTTTCATATCATATGTCCTCCGCTCCTTCCGTCCCTATTGTTGTTTGTAATTAATTTAAGTTTGATCACTGCTATATATAAACAATTCCTATTGTGTTTTAACAAGGTCAACCAAATACTTGATCAGTTTACACACCAAGAATGATGTATTTACTGCATATAATATGTGATGGATAGATTATAGGTAGGTAGGTAAGAGTGCATACAGTTAAATAATTAGCCATTTCTCATATTTCCTTTTATTTCCTGGTTAAGCAGGTGACTATAATTGTCATGGAAGGTATGAAGGAGGTAGCTATGATTTTATCACATGGCTATGGGGGATAATTATGACCATTATTATGCTCAAATGTAATTATTGTCTCATTTTTATCCTTTTTGTAGTGTAAACTTAAGTATAAAAATAAAGATTTATGAATATGTCAGACAAATTATATACAATGGGTGATCACTTGGTAAGTAATTTTTATACCTTTGTTGTGGTCTGTGTAGATGGAGGCTATTTTGGCAATAGCCATGCACTTAGACATAGCATGACCAGTCCATATGTGGACTGCCTATATGTCTATTAAACATGATTGAATACCCAAATTAGATTCAAGATTATGATATGTCCCAGGCATGGATCCAAAAATGACCATGTACTGAAGTTATATGGCATGAGCCATGTAAAATATGGTGGGAAACATACAATTGGGGCTGCATCCCACCATAATGCACTAGTCAATTGAAACCCCGACCCCCGGGATAGGGAGGGGAAATTAACATTTTGACAATGTTAAATTTTGGACATTTCCCTGCTACCGGGAGAATATTGACTGTTAAAATTACTGTCCCTATGGCCCCAGCACTTTGCAAATTTTCATGACTTGGGAAATTTTCATGACTTGGGAATTAATTGTCCTGGCTAATAAATTGATTTGTTATTTATTACCCTGTACCCTGGGGGAAATCTGCATTAAGACCGTGTTAATCCACGGCCATTCCCCGTTAATTCCCCGCCCTGTCCCGGGGTTGGGGGTTTCAATTGACTAGTGCATGCATAAACATTGCAAAGGTCCATTTTGTAAATTAATGGCACTATGTATTTAATCTTAATTTATAGGGCCTGTGAGTTCATATCTGGAATAAAATAATGGCAATTCTACAGAAATATCACTGCTAAGGAGTGTCAAACAAATTCAGGAGGACTGAATTAACTGGATGTTCTCAGGATGAAAAAGAAATTGTTGACTTTAATTGAATAATCATTATCATTAATGTTAAAGGTTAAAAATATTGAACATTCAAAAGGATGCAGACAGAAAATTGAAAGTAGGGCCTGAATTTCAGGTTAAGTGATCCAGGAATGGGGTTGGCCCTCTGCAGGCTAAATCAATTGAGGGAGATCCCTTTATTTCAAGTTAAATGATTATTTGAATAAGATGCCATTCAGGCAATAAGGGCCTGGTTAGGTCCATATTTTAATTCAAATTATTAAGTACTCGATTTATCCATCAACAAACCCCAACATTAAAATTTCCATCGAGTGAGATGCAACAAAACCATCTATAGTTTATTAATTATGTTAACCTAATCCATCAATTGGCAATGAGCCTACTTTAGTAATAATTTTATATACTCCATCTCTAATTTGCCCATTATATTTATAAACTGCATGACAGTTAATAATATTACTCTTTCACATACTAATAAAATCATCTGGGCTCGGTTGTTCGAAACCCGTGAAAGCCTTTGAACTACTCAACTACCGGCCCCAGATGATTTTATTAGTCTGTGAAAGATTAATTATTAACTGTCAGTTTATAAATATAATGGGCAAATATATGATTATGTACAAATTGCATGCATGGTTCATAATATCTCTGTGATAGACTTGCTCCAACAGATTCAAATTCCATCCTGACAATACCTAAATAATAATTATAGAGGTTGCAGTGTTGCACTACCTTTTGCTAAAATACTGCCATTGTTTACCAGTATTTAATATGAACTCAAAAGTCAAAACACTTAACACTATGAAGTATTTAGATTTATAAATAGTACTTAGTATTTTATAAACCTTAATTGCATATAAAATAGTTTATAGTCATCTTACCTTTGTACTTTTACTGTAATTATCTCTTTAATTTGTATTTGTTCACTAATCTGTATTTTCTTATTTCAAAATAAACTGAATTTCATATCAAGAAGCGAAGTTTGTCTGTTTGTGTGCTTATTTAAAGGCACAGTTCAGCCTTCTGAGTGATGGGTTTTATGGCGCATTACAAGACTTTTAATTGAAAAAACTAACTAGGAAAATCAATTAAGCATAATTCAAAATCAGTGAACTCAATGTTAAAAAACATTAGAAATGTTTAAAAATGTTAAAAACATTGAAATCACTGATCTTGAATTGTGCTTAATTAATTGATTTTCCTAATTAGTTTTTTCAATTCAAAGGCTTGTAATGCGCCTTAAAAACCATCATTCAAAAGGCTGAACTGTGCCTTTAAATTTCTCTCCCCCCCTGGAAAATGGCCACGAATAACAGCGTCGAAAACGATTGATATCAGGCTGTTTACGTATTGATAAAACAAGACTGTTCGCAGTTGTTGACAATATAAAACATCATTGATATCAGGTTGATCTCAGTTGTTCCAACAACGTTGTTCAGGCCTTGTTCGTTCATCAGGCGTCAACAACATTGTTCGAACAAGCGTGAACAATATTGTTGACAACATTGCTGCAAGTGGGCCGCACAATATTGCAGCATCCTGTTCAGAACCAAGTTGCAGCAACTTGTTGACAACTTGCATCAACCTGAGCGTTTTTACGCGTGTAGGAGCACCTCCTCCAGTAATTTAGTAAAGCTCAGTGGTTTTCCCCCGTTTCCTTATTTTATTTCCATTCCCCCGTTAATCCACGGCCATTCCCCCGTTTTTTGCCGTGTACACGGCAAAAAACGCTCAGGTTGATGCAATACTGATGAAAACAGGATTGAACAATGTTTTGCTGCCCACATTGTTCATAGCTGTCAACAACATTGAACAATATTGTTACACCCAATTCATGCTCAACAGCATTGTTCAATACTGTTGACAAGTGTGAACAACGTGGGCAGCAAAACATTGTTCAGTCCTGTTGAGCAACGGTCGCGGCGTTTTTTTGCCGTGTACACATTGTTCACACTTGTCAACAATATTGAGCAATGCTGTTGAGCCTGAATCGGGTGTAACAGTATTGTTCAATATTGTTGACAGCTATGAACAATGTGGGCAGCAAAACATTGTTCAATCCTGTTTTCATCAGTATTGCATCAACCCGAGCGTTTTTTGCCGTGTATAACCAGTGAACTCAAAAGACCTGGAACGATAACTCCTATGTTCAAGTGCTATGATTGGTTGAAGCCAATTTGAAGCTCACAGCGGGAACCGCGCGGCGAAAATGCACTTTCAAAAAGACTAGGGTGAGTTACGAGGAGTGCGAAATTCAGTCAAAGCGTTGTTTGAGCGAAAATTAGCAAAAAAATCCTTTTTTCATCGAAAGACTTCAAGTTAAAATATCCAAACCTGTTTTTTTGGATAGCTCTAACTTGCTTGCACTTACTTGAAGCAAAACTTTGAGGAGTAAACATTTTTGTATTGTGAAAAATGATAAATATTTGAACGTGCCTATGAAAACTTCGCCTTTCAACTACGAAAAAAAAACTTTAGAATATTTCTGCGAGATTAAAACTTGTTTTTAATAGTACTGAAGCCCATATAATGAAGTCGATTTTGAACTTTTAATCTATCCGTTAGCCGCTGTAAAACGTGAAAAATTTGTGTTTTCTAGTAACCTGCGATCAGGCATATAAATAAAGCTTCGCGACCGCGCGACGAAGGATGCGAGCACATTCGATTTGTCAACGGCGTGGTTGTTATGGCGGTTTTGCAAAGTATTTTTTCGTTAAACTTTACTTGCATAAAACCTACTTACCTTGCAAAATGTAAAGCAAAACTAAAGCCGAAAGCCAAGATAAATACAAGCTGTTTGGATTGTGTGTTGATGGCAAAATGAAGACGATAGGAACAGAAGTAAAATATAACGTGCTTTGAAATATATTTTGGAATATATTTATCGTTATCCAACATTCAAGGTTTTGGACAAAAAGGTAATACTTTAATTGAAATTACAAATATTTATGAATTATACAACTGATAATAAAACGATTCACGTTTGACTTTATTGATTTTTAAACAGGATCATCTTCGTTAGCTGGTGCCTGACGCTTGGCTGTCCATTAACCACCTTGTCGTTGTAGCGTTTGCCGTAAGTGAAGAGTCTCAAGGTAAAGTATCTTTCTGCCGTTAATTTGATAAGGGATGACCGGTGATTTTCTTCAAGTGAATTGTCTTGCGATCCCTGATCGTGATCTTGAAAAATTTGGTGGGTTGAATCCATTACAAAATGGTTGCACACACTCAGAACCAGCTTCTGCTTTAACTTGTTTTCTCTTGAAATTTTGAGGCCATCTTTGCAAACATTTACTTTAAATAATTTTTCAGCAAATTCAATAATGTTATAAACAGACTGTGACGGTATTTTTAGGCCACCATTGTTCACAAATAATGTGAATGCTGATGCAGGTGCAATTTGATTATAATTCATAGCACAGTAATCATGGTCTGAAGTTTCAGAGTTGAAGTGAGAAAGTAGACATCGCTTGCATGATTCACACGATAGTTTTTTGACCAGTTTGAAAACAATGTAACCACTGATGTAAAACAAAATGTTGGACAGAAATTCGGATGTACCGGGTGAATTTAAGTTACTGCAGAGTAGGTCTTCTTCAGGACTGCTTTCAGGTTCGTCCAGGTTATCTGTTGGAGTTTCTTTTAAAGGTGATTTGTGTTTCTGGGAGTGAAAGAATGGGATAATTGTTGTTGTGGAATCAGAAAATGTCAGGCAGTTGGCATTTTTTGAGGCTGTGATTGTGTTCCTCAACAGCATTTTCCTCATTGCATACTTCAGTTGTAAGCAGTTCGGGTTATTGTTCCAGCCACCCTGTGCTCTTATACATGAAAATAAGAGTTCAATATGATCCTGTGAGAACCTGTAAGTAAGCAGATATTTGAAAGAATTTTCACCACTGAACATTGCTGTTGTCATATCAATTGTCGATTTAATAGTTGTGACAAAGCCAGTAATGAATGTTTTTCTTTGATGTGTGACCAACAATTGGTTGGTACTGTCATGTGTTCTTAAACTGAGCAAATACTCAGCAGAATGCTTCAGGATTTCTTCCCATGTATTTCTCGATTGAGGACGCAGTGGTTGTTTAAATCCTTTTGCAATTGGGTTTCGAGAGTTTAGAATGTCAAATAATCTATCCACTATTCTGATAAATTTAACAGTACCGATTGAGTTTTGAAATTCTTTAAGTTCCATTGATTTATCTAAAAATTCAATAGCATCTGCTACAGATGAGCTAAGGGTTTGAGCTGCTAGTTGGACATTCATTTTGTGCTTCAAAAACTGGAGATGTCTTGATGAAAACTTGTTTGCTAATTGGAAACCTTCACATTCTTGGATTTTATTGAGTGATGAAAATAATTTCCATGTAATAATATTGTTTTCACAGTCAACGATAGAGCCTAAGTGACCCAAAGCATTCCTTGCCAATTTAAGCATGTGACATGGGTCCAAAATTGCATATACGAAGTAGTTTTGAGTAGGGTGTTTAAACTTGGTAATCATGCTTTCATATGATGTTGTAAACTTGCAGCCAAGTTCACTGAACATGGTGAAATTGACAGAAGTACCATCTGCTGTTACAGAATAGACACGTAATCCAGCTTCAGCTGCCATAATGAGTGCTTCCTGAACCAACTTGGCTTGCATTTTTCCAGTCATTTTGTCAGTGAGAAAATATCCAATAGGACATTTCCAATTACTTCTGGCCCCCACAAGAACAAATACTAGTGCTTCTGATGCATATTGATCTGGTTTACTGGTAGGTATATGTCCATAGTCTACAAACCCCACATACTTATCATTTTTAGAGTCCCATAGAGTTTGCCATCCCATCAATTATGAAACAACAGTTTCTTTTCAGGGCTGAGCAATGCTTCCTTTTTTAGGGATTCAAATGACTCTTTAAAGAATCCTGGATTGCACTCAACAACACTTGACCACTTTCTAATAAGTGATGGATGTGGTAATGGAATTATTGACCTTACATATTCGTATGCTTTTGGTGAGTAGTAATTTAATGTTGTTGCGAATTCTTTGACAACGTCTACATATCTCCTCCCACAAGGATCACATCTAACATTATTTTTCGTGTCTCTGAAAATGGCAAGTTGCACCCCATCAAATTTTGCCGAAAGTAGTTCTGCATCATCTTGACAGATAAGAAGCTTTTGTTGTAGCTCTTGTATAATATCTCCCATGGTCTGTTTTCTGGCTTTAGTTGCCTTAATTGTTGCTGCAAGCCTTTTCTTTTTCTTTTTAGTTTATCCTCTAGGGTTTTCCTATCTTGGTCTTCTTCCAAATCTTCTATGGTGTTGGCTAGCCTGCGAGCAGGCTCTCTGGGGAAAGAGAGCCTGCAAGGATCCCTATGATGATTGCGTGCCGCCCTTCAATTATGATGTCACAGGTCAATTAATAACAACCAATCAGCGCAGACCGGAATACACTACGATATTGTAAACATAAACCGATTCGTTTCAAATTCGTTACTGTAATAGTTTCGTATACAGACCGCCACTGTGGCATACTAAAAAAGTTAAAACGGCTCGAGGTTTTACAGAGTAATATATCAAGTTGTACTTTTATTACAATCTGCATGTGTTTCTCCTGTAGGCACAGTAAGTTTAAAGTTGTATATTACCCGCTAACTAATTCAGTTATTTGGAATTGCTTCGTGCTGCAATATATAATATACACTGTATACAGTCTATATATATAGTAATAATATAACTTACTGAAATTTATGGCTTTGGTGAGACATAGACATATATGATATACCATGGACATAATAATATGTTTATAGTTCAAATTTTGCAACAAAAAGTGGAATTGCAGTAAACATGCATGTGATAATTATTGTAAACAAAGTGACGAGTAAATTACTGTACATTTTAACGCCGCATACTTATAAATATTAAATAGTCAGTATAACATTGTAAAACAAGCTTAATACACACAATATGCACTGAATATTATCAGAATTCCCAATATTGTTTCATAAAAGAGAAGCGATATAATGCCTTGTCCCTAGGTTTCGGTTTGCGAATTTGTGCAGTCTTTCTCAAGAATTATTCTTAGCTTAGGAGTCAGACAAGCCAAGGACACAATAAAGCATGCAAGCTTTTAGTATTCGTCTTTATATGAATACTATATTAATTTACAGTAAAAAGTCAACCAGGATCAAAATACATAACACTTTTATCTCTACATTGTCGCAATTCCGAAGCTTTGCGTTGCTCGGTTTTACAAACGGGAAGTGCAAGTTTATGGAAGCTTGTCAATCACTTCATATGAATCAGTTATCAACCAATCAGAGCACTGCGTCCAAATATTGGACGCATGCACCGAATCATCAAAGGGATCCTTGCAGGCTCTCTTTCCCCAGAGAGCCTGCTCGCAGGCTAGGTGTTGGCTTTTTTGCAGTAGGTATGGTCATGGTTGACAATATCAAGAGATGATACGGTTGTCAACACCTCTAGATTACATGGGTGTTCTATCTTTTTTCTTAATTTTTTAGGGATGCCATAGACTGGGTTACTTGATGAATTGAATATGGTAGGTCCGGCTGTGGATTTCAACCTGCAGCTTTCATTTTCAGAAGGAGGAATAATGTAATCGGATTGTGGGAAGTGCTTGCTGCAGATGTATGTATATCGTGTTGCTTTCCAATCAGGGGAGTTATTTACTTCGCAGACTGCTTTCTACCACTTTCCAAGAACTTTTGGGTTATTTAGAGGGAATCTAAATAAATGCAGTGTAAATTGCAATGTGTGAGTGTATGTGTATATGTATGTACATAATTATTATGCTTACTTTATATTTGTATTTAATTAGATCCTTAGCTGATGCTACTTTAAAATTACCTCTACTTTAAAATTAATTAGTAGTTGGCCTTAGTACTTTATAGCCTTGTACTGTATAGCCTTGTACTGTACATACCATAGTGTAGCAGCTGTAAACAGTGATGTTTATATTAAAATTTAATTAAATACAATTGCTTAAGTGCACAAACATGTGACAATTATTCTCAAATTATGTGACTTAAGTATTTATTTAATATTTTATATGTGTATTTACAGTGTGTTTATTTTTACAGTGTGATAAGATTAAATCTGTTGTTATTTTCAAATATCCTGAATGCCTCACCTGTGAAATGCAGTCTTTTTTCCAGTGTTGGTTGTGTTTTTTGTCTTCTTTTTAACTGGTTTTTGCTTGCTGTTACAGCACAAAAGTACACAAGGAAAAGGCATGTTTATATCTCAGGACCAAGTAAAAACACCCAATTTTTTAACGTGTTTTTCATATATTTTCGCAAATATTTCGCATTTGTTGACACTCTGAATTTCCAGAAAAAGGACTGGGTCTAGTAAAATTCACTTCAGACTCGGCTTTTTCCCAAAAATAGGTAGAAAAATGATATTTTTCGTTAGATAGCATTAAATCTAAAGCTTTGAAACATATACACGGATAGTTTTTAGTGTTTTACGTCTATTTATGGGGGAAACTTCTGAGGTGTCAGTTTCATATTGTAAATATTGCACAAGTTTAAACGCGCCGAACAAAACTTCAACATTTAACTCCTTAAAAAAGATGCTTAAAGTTGATTTGTATCCTCGAAAATGGTTTTTTATAAAAGAGCAGGTGAGATTGAAGCTTTTTAAACTTTGTTTTTGTTTGATTGTAACTTTGAAGTATGAGAAAACATCCGGCGGAAATGGGGTGTATTTTCGAGGCCTGACGTGCAATGGCGGCCTTCAATTTGGCTTCAAAGATGGCGGCCGAGTTATCGTTCCAGGTCTTTTGAGTTCACTGTGTATAACAACCTCCTACCCAGGGCTTCTGCGCTTATTGCTCTCAGAAGCCCTGGGATAATCCAACTCAGAACGTGATTTGATTGGTCAATGCGAATACAATGAAAGTACCGGAAGTTATTCATTAACCGGGTGATATTTTGGCAACATGTCTGCTATCACAAGGAGTGTATACAAAAGTTAAATGCTGGTTTTTGCATGAAAATACTTTTTTGAACCAAATTCTGGGCTATTTTGAAAAGAGCAAAAGAAGAAATGGACTATTTGTATTTGTAAATAAGCAGGAATGGCGAACAAAGTAAAAAATTTAATTAACATAATAAAGCGAAACATTTCTCGTTCGAAAATTGAAATTTCAAGTATAAATCTACAACTTCAACCACGATATTCAATGTAAATATTACATAATAAAGTTTTTAATACCTTTTTTACCTTTATTTGATAAATTGTGTGTTCTATATTTATTGCATTTTGTATTGGAATAGGATAAATTATGAATTATACACAAATATTTAAATTTACAAATTATTCCCAATTTGAGGATGCTGGGTGCACTGGCTCAGAGTTTGTATTAGTGCCTATTTATTATTGAGTTATTAGTGCCTCTAAGTCTCTAATGTACAAACATTGTAATCTGTTACTTAATACCATAAAGAAACTGTTGATAGCACATATATTAAATGACTATTAATCAAAATGAACTAAATTTTCGACCATTATATAGCATATTTCCCCCAATATTGAGGGAATAATTTCTCATATTTATTTTTATAATAAGCCAATATTGCCCAACTGTGAAGTAAATATTGCCCGACTGGCCTAGTCTGCCCAACAGTTGAGCCCAGCCCTGTACGCCTATGACCAGGCCTACAGGTGGACCCCCAACCTGATTGGTCACAATTTTTCTTTCTCCAAAATTTCCCCTCCCCATGTACAAGGATTGACAATTTGACAGTTTGATTAGATTTGAAAATTTCCTCTGTGGGGAGAGTGTGGATATTTTCTGGAACGACCTATTTGAGAAATGCTTTTGCACAAATTTTAAATTTTCTTACAAATTTCTTGTATGTCAGAACACTGTTCTAAGTTGCAACTAAAATTCAGAGGTCTAAAAGGCTCAAGTCAATTCCAGTGGTGTAACCAGAGGGGGTGGGGGGTCAAAATATTTTAAATGTTCTGAACTTGTTTGTAATTAATTAGAGTTGAACATGTTTTAACTGCAAGGTTATTTCAAATCACCAAAACACATTAAAATAGCCCCCCAAAATGGCACTTTATTAACTAGAATTTAAAAAGTCTACATTGTACTATATTATACATGGATAGCTTGGGAGTCCAAATATATTTTACATACTAACAAACTTTATTCAAACTAGTGCAGGCCCCTCCTGGGGATTTCAGTCCCCCTTGAAGGCCTTAATTAGAAATTCTGGCTACATCACTGCTCAATTCCATTGCCAATGATGGTGTTAGCATGATTAGACAGAGTAGGTTAACAAACTAGTGTGTATTATGACATAATCCATTGAACACCAATGATCTATCCTAACATATAAAATCATCTGGTGCAGTGGTGGATCCAGCAAAGTTTTTTTGGGGGGTGCTAACCAATGGCGAAACGAGCGCCGAAGGCGCGAGATTTCTAGGGTGGTCCGGGGGCATACTACCACGGAAAATTTTTAAAATTTGGGTCTCTGAAATGGCATTTCCAGCATTCTGAGAAAACATTCTGGAAAATTTTTAGATTCTCAAAACATTTAAAAATTCAGAATATTTAATATTGGCTATTCCACTATTGTCAACTTAGTGATACGCAACTGAATTCCTTAACATAAGTTGGTTAGAATTAGGATAAACGTCATTTTTGCACCCCCCCATGCACCCCTGTTGACCAGAGCCTGGGGGGGGTGCACACCAGAGTAAAATAAAAAGTAAGACACAATGTATAACTTAATAGGTAAGGTTAATGGCCAGAACTAAATGATAAACAATATTTTATAATAAACCCAAATTAGTTCAGCACCATTGGTTCTTATAACACTGTTCATTCCAATACTAGAACATCAGCAATTAACAAAAGTTGGAGTTTCATCCGATGACATGTATGTTTCTAACCATGCTGTCCATGCAGCTATCTGACAGTTTTTAATTTTCAACATTGATTCCCAAAGCCATTATTCTCAAGATTTGCCAAAAAGGTTTCCCAAATATTAAAGTACAGAATTATATTACATCACTCATCACTGTTCATTTTACATTCTTCAAGTAGATGCATGTTTACAGTACAGTATATCTTGTGCATTTATAATTAAATCTTGCAATATCTTGTTCAAAACCCTCAAATCCAAGATAATCGGCAGCCAGCTATGTTATCAGTAAGATTTCTAGTCTGTTAATTTTGAAATGACCAAGGTTGCACTCGAATATAAATATTTATACTTTAATTATTGAATAGCAGGGGCTATCGCTGACAAGGTATGCTGTTGTCGCGATATAAGATGTTCTTTTGCTCGCCAAAGGGCTAATTTTACGCATAATTGTATCTCTAAATTGATCATTCCTGACTTTAAATTCCAAAAGCCACGCGAGAAGCAGTTTAAGACGTCTTTACAGGTCCAAATATATCATAAATTGCAACAAATAATCCATTCTCACTCCTTGCGTAAAAATATGCCCAGTCAGCGTTTTTAGCTGGAGCTACTGTTTACTTCCGCTTCCGGGGGCACCACTGTCCCAGGGCTTCTGAGAGCAATAAGCGCAGAAGCCCTGGGTACGAGGTTGTGTGTATAACTCACTGAGCTATACTATATTACTGGAGGACGTGCTCGGCATCAAAAAGTGTCCGCAAAAACATGGCGGATTTCGGCCTTTGCTGACGCCAGAATGACGCCATATGGTTCCTCCGGCTCATGGTAATTACCACTGACAAGGCTCAATTTTGAGCCCGCTACGACTTTCACACCCCCCTGGTTCTTATTAAAATATTTTTGCTTGTTGAAGTATTTGCAGTATATTCTCGTAGTTTTTGATTTTTTCATATTTTTTGTACCTTTGACCACTGGTTCAAATGTGTGCAAGTCGTACACATTATATTCTCGTCCTCAAAAGACAGAAAACCTCGAAATACATCCGCAAAGACGATAGTTGAAGCCGCAACTACAGGTAAAATATTTCTCAGTTCATAACTTCACACACCGAGTCACACTCGAGCAAATTTTCTACAAAAATTGTTGGGTTTAATAGTGGTACAATGTATTATATTTTAGCGACAAGTATGTAAAGGTCTCTCTAAAGCCTTGTTGTACAAAGTAATCAACTTTCGTTTAATTTAAATCGTGAGCAAAATGGTATTTTGATCTATTGTTTATTTGTTTACATGCTCTATTTGTTGCATATTTTATGATGTTTTGAATAAGCCTACTGTGCAGTTTGTATTTCATGATACTATTTTGAAAATTTATAATTTTCTGTAGGTGGCACGAAACTGTGCATTTTACAAATATCAAATTATCTTAATTAATTTGACCCTGGAGACTGATTTTATAATGACATGAAAGTACAGTATAATGTGCTACCAGCTAGTACTTACCACTATATTTTGAGGGAATAACAAAGAGAATTTATAGTATTTTATATTTTGTACTAACTTTATATGCAAAAGCTAGAGGTACTCAAGGAAGCTCATTCTGCTGTCGGAGTACCTTAAGGAGTTTTGAACAGAGGCGCCGGAATATCGATAATTGGGGGGGGGGCAGATATTCATATATTCGTGTTCTGCCCAATTAATTTCTTTTGAAATCGATTGTTTTTACAGTCTGTGAACACGAATATATGAATATCTGCCCCCGCTATTATCGATATTCCGGCGCCTCTGGTTTTGAATCACTATATGATTGTAGTTCTTGGGTGTGGGTTCTAGTTAGTGCAGAATTATGCAACCACTGTAGCTAAAACTAAGACAAATAAACCTCGACGTTTCAGCTGAAGAGCTTGGGGCCTTTATATTTGTTCATATTTTTTTAGCTTTTGGTGTACATACACATAGGATTATGGTTTCTGTAACTTCTAATAGTTTCTTGACAAAATTTAATTCTGAAAAAACAATGTATTTTTAAGGGGTCACTCAACTTGCCAACAAAGTTCGAGCATCGTCTGAAAACCTAGTATATTTCTTTTGTATTCCTCATTTTCCCTTGATATGATTTTTCATGCTTTTTCTCTTTTAGAGTAACCTATATAATCTATTCTGTCTTGTTTATTGCAGAATTATTTACCACCACAATGATGCAGTTGAAATTGTATTATTTTAATTTAAATTCTTCAATGAATAATTAATAACTACCAATCACCAAAGAGTCATTCCAGAAAAGATAAACACTAACTCCACAGATGTCTGAAGTGCTGTCTGAAGTGGGCAGAACTCAACTGCTGATAATAGTAAAAGTATTAGCTAAGAGTGTCGGCCAAAAGTGGGAGGAAGCTGAACCTCCCATCTCTTCCATTAGGGATGTGGATATTTTTTTGAATGACCCAATCAGTTTGAACTAACTGTATAATCAAGTTATTCTAGTATAATTATCACTTTGTAGTCCCATGAGCTGTGACATCACTTTGGCTGTTTGGCATGTTTATCTCTTTTCAATTTTCTTATGGTAGCGATAACAGATTACTACTACAGATACTGTATTACTACACATTGTTACACCCAAATAAGATCATATACATAATACATCAATGTTAACTATCATGATACAATACATCTGTTACAGCAAGAACATTTTTGCTTCAGTTCTTGTATAATTACATATCACTTTGATGCCTGTAATAGAAATGAGAAATAAAGTTACTTTGTTTATGATTGTTTTATTCTATGGTGTGAAACTGTTTCATGTACATTTCAAAATTAATTGCAATGGGTGCATACTGTGGGTTCTGGCCAGTTAGCTCAGACCAGTCCACCCCTACTTTGCAAGTTACAGCTGTGGCTGGATTGGAACTGTTAGCTCTTCTGCACCACTAATCTTGTATAAATCTGAATTAATCGCCATCGCTCTCCCCAATTGATGAGTAAAATTATCTGGTGTTAGACAGAGTAAAATAATCTGGCGTTAGACAGAGTAAAGGGGCCCATCAGGGTGCAATGCGACTCATAACTATCTGACACATAGGCTAGTTATTAACCCATTAAGCACCAGCACTCTCTACTTGATGAGTAAAATCGTCTGGCATCAGACAGAGTAAAATAATAAAATAGGGTGCAATGTGACTCAATGGGTTAACCTCTAAGGGACCTAAATAAATATGGCTAAACATAAATCAAGACTCCCATGACAGAGGTATTTTCTGAGTGAAGGAGGTTTTTTGTTTGGAGATTTTTATGAGGCATAGACGTTGTCAGGTTGACCCATACTAGCATTCAAGGTAATGCCAATGCAAGAATGATATACGTATAAATCATGCAAATTTGGGTATGCACAAGTCGATGATAGCTCGATGCTGAACTGAAATGTAGTGCACAACCCCACAAAAAAAGCCTAAATTACACAGCCAATTGGTAAATGCTGATACAAAACCTAGCAAGTAGCAAGACTAGCAGTTTATAATATTTGTGAAGGATACAATACAGCTTGTTTATACTGTATATAAATCTAGTGCTAACTGCTCTTTATGAAACAAAGCAAACTACAGATTGCATGAGCAGCATGCTGTTTAAACTAATAAACTGGCACTAAAAACAAAAGCCAGTGCCTGAAACTAGAAATAAAATGTATGTACACAATGTATAAATAACCATGTACAACGTTTTTTATGTCTGCTCCAGAAATATTGGTGTAAATATAAAATATAAGTGTTTGACAAATACATATTTATCAGTACCTCGATTTTATACGCATATCGGTCCCTGACTTTGCCAATCGAGAATTAGTCGAATAAAAGGTAAAAACTTAAAATTTTCACAAATCTTACCTTTCAGAAGAAATATTCTTCATTTTAAAGTCTTTACAGCGAATTTTTGCATCCACAAGTGGAGAAAAACGGCATGATTTTGTCTTGAAAACATAAAATATTTGTGCAAAAACAGGGGGGCGAAGGTCTTTGTCGCATGCTTAGGATCGCGGTTGGTCAGTGGTAATTGCCATGAGCCGGAGGAACCATCAACCTCGTTCCCAGGCTATTTGCTCTTGGGAAGCAAAGACCCTGGTCGGAGCTGGTCACGTGAACCCCCAGATTTTGGGGGTAAATTGAATTTGATCTCAGGGAGGGGTAGGAGAGTAGTCTGTTTGTTGCGTTTGGAAAATTGCAACTTTATGTGTTATAATTTCGGATGATAAAAATGTAATTTGCAACAAGAGATTGTGAAAGGAACTGTTCTAAATTCGTACCGATCATGACAAGATTTCCTGCTATACTGAATGTCATCAATAATAAGTGTTGCGTTACATTTCAAGCGAGAAGGTGGATCATATTTCACTTGCAAGGAAAACACTCCACACGCGCCTGGCCTGCGAAGTTTAGCACGTATCGCCGTAGAAACATACATATCTTCTACACAGACTGATCGATCAAACGGTATTAAACGAACGATATGGTTCTTTATAGTTGAAGTGTATCCTGTCCGATATTCAAAACAAAAGATTTATTTTATAACGGGATCCTTTGTCTTTGATTTCCCAAACATCGCCAACATGTGTAAACAATAGTGCTATTTTCTGACTGTAAAAGCACAGGATTAAAACCCGTTATGGACTGGCTATAAAATTCATTTCATTTACATTGCTGAAACTCAACGATCAAGAAAGATAATGTCGAAGTTTGGCTAGCTAACTGTTATCACACAAACGCCAAGACTCCGTAAATGCGTTTCCGTGCGTGCGGTACAACTTGAATATCTAGTCCGATATATGCACCAGACACTGGTATTGTACTTTATATAAATTATTTCATATTTTGTATATACAGTAATTTGCAACATGTATAATATTAGACCTTTCATTGACATTGGCATTGTCCATTGAGGGCTTTATTGAAGAATAATCCAGCTTCTTTACACTTGTATAATGGATTAATGCCGCTGTAAGTTATCAATATTTAAATCAACTTTAATCTTTATCGTATACTGGAATCAACATTTTAGAAGTTTAGTCTGTTTTACCAAACAAACTGGAGGCAAACAACCTATCTATCAATGGAAACTTTAAAAGGTTTGCTACAGTACAACTCATTAATATAAGCGAGACTTCGTGTATATACAGTTTATGAATTATGTATGTCCCTGATAAAACGTAGGACACTTTATACCAGATATAATAAAAAATACTTTGCTAAACCTTTTCGGCTGTCATTCCTTTGCATTTAAGGGGAGAGGGTAAATGGCGATAGAATTTATAGGAGATGCTGTGCAATATTTTGGCTTCAACAAACAGGTACTCGTGCAGACAAAAATGGAAATTCTTGCAGTTATGAATTGTCGTATGTCAGCTGTGCACTGTCGATTTCAAACAATTTTCTACGTTATATTTTGTCTTCCTGGTGTTTAATATAAACGATGATAGCCATTTAAAAAAAAAATCTAGCGCAATATGTCTATAAACAGTTTTAGAATCAATAGAATGGACATTCACAATGTGTATTTGGCTTGTGTCCAAATGTGTCACGTTTAAGACCGGCAAGGCGCTAATCCTACGACCTATAAACAGTCGCTTTCGAGACATCTGTTTAACAAAATTTATACCATGTCCATATCAGAACAATTCATTGGCATATTATAAGTATATTATAAATATCAGAGCCACAACAGAAACGTATGCGTGAAATAAAACTACGCCCGAACCTGCGAATACCGAGAAAATAAAAATATTTCAAAGCGTACAGTCATATGTTCTTGTTGCTTGATTTCCTGAATTTTGTGTCGCCATAAGAATCTGCATTTAAGCTCCTGTCAGAAGAAGAAGTCCATAACATAATCATGAAGTCGTCGAATGCAACATGTAACCTTGATCCTATCCCAACATGGCTGCTGAAATTATGTGCCAGTGAGTTAACACCTGTCATTATGAAAATGATCAACTTGTCGTTAAGTGAAGGTCACGTCCCAGAAGCATGGAAAGTTGCCATTCTTATTCCAATTCTAAAAAATACGGTCTTGATCTAGTCTTTGAGAACTTCAGGCCCGTCAGTAACCTGTCTTTCGTTTCTAAAGCTACGGAAAAAGCAGTTGTTAGCCAGTTATTTGAGCATTGTGCTGATAATGCTCCTCTTCCTAACAACCAATCGTCATATCGTCAATTTCACTCTACCGAAACAGCTCTCCTAAGAGTCCACAATGATATCCTTATGAATATGGACCAACAGAAAGTAACTCTTTTAGTGCTCTTGGATTTGAGTGCCGCCTTTGACACCATTGATCATGAAATTCTGATGGATATATTGAAGTTAGAATTTGGTGTGATCGGAAATGCCTTAAAGTGGATTAAGTCGTTTCTTTCCTGTAGAAAGCAGCGTATTAATATTAAGCAAAAGTTTTCCGCCAATTTTACGTTGAACTGTGGAGTACCACAAGGAAGCTGTCTTGGACCGGTCCTTTTCCTATTATACGTGTCTCAACTGTTCCAGATTATTAACAGGCACTTACCTTCTTCCCATGGGTATGCAGATGACACTCAACTTTATTTATCTTTCCGTCCTGAGTCACCCGTTGTCCAAGACCAAGCTATTCAAACTATTAATAATTGCATCGTCGAAGTTCGTGCTTGGTTAGTTTCACATAAATTAATGTTCAATGACACTAAAACGGAATTCTTGATAATTGGAACTCGCCAGCAGCTGTCTAAGGTTACAATCGACTCGATTGAAGTTGGTGATGCTGATATAAAACCTGTACAAGAAGTCCGAAATCTAGGTTCGTGGTTTGACGAACATATGTCGATGAATGTCCATGTGGGCAAGGTTTGCAGCAAAGTATTTAGGGGCTTGTACAACATCCGACAAATAAGGAAGTTTCTCTCCATCGAATCAACTAAAACGCTCGTACATGCCTTTGTGACGTCACACTTGGACTACTGCAATTCTCTCTTGTTCGGCATTCCCCAATACCAACTTCAGCGTCTTCAACGAGTTCTCAATGCCGCTGCTAGAGTGACGTGTCTTATACCAAGATGTGCTCATATTACCCCTGTCCTGATGCACCTTCACTGGCTGCCTGTCAAGTTTCGCGTTGATTTTAAAATTGCACTTCTGGTATATAAAGCCCCCCACGGGATGGCGCCAGGCTACATTATGGAACTGTTGTTAGAAAAACCGAACTGCTGTTACCAACTGAGATCTGATGATCAGGGACTGCTTTTTATCCCAAAAACTAGAGCCAAGACTCTTGGTGATCGAGCATTTGTGCATGCAGCTCCGTCAATTTGGAACATGCTACCTTCTGGTATTAGAAATAGTAAAACAATTGACTGTTTTAAATCTCAATTAAAGACTTTCCTTTTTAAGAAAGCTTTCGATTCTAACTTTTAGATTTATAGACACCTATACCTTAACTCTTAATATTTTAGCTACTTGTATATAGTATAACCTCATTGTTGTAAAGCGCTTTGGAATATTTTATATAATTTAAGCGCTGTATAAATCTTTATATATTATATTATATTATGTTTGTATAATTTAAAAGCAAACAGAAACCAATTTAGCAAGTAGTTTGAGGTATATATGATTCTTGAAGATGAATTAATGATTGTACAGAACGGCCACTCCTTGCAATCGAAGTGTGGAAGTGGAAACAGGTAATATGAGACTTTTCCACCCCCCTCTTGGGCTATCAATTTTCAATGGGTCACGTGACCAGCTCCGACTTGGGTCTTTGCTTCCCAAGAGCAAAGAGCCTGGGAACGAGGTTGAGGAACCATATGGCGTCCATCCTCGGTCCCAGGGCCTCACGGCTGACACTGCGTTGCCACGCAGTGTCAGCCGTGAGGCCCTGGGACCGAGGATGTATGGCGTCAGTAAACGTGAAAATCCGCCATGTTTTTGCGGACACTTTTTTGACTGACGAGAGATAGGAGCACCTCCTCCAGTAATATTATAGCTTAGTGGTATAACTCCCTGCGCTTGTTCGTCGCGATGCACTACTTCATGTAAACCTTTCATATAGTGACTCGCATGAAAATTTTTTATTAGCGCCTGGGGGGGAACGAGGCAGATCTGTGGTAGTGAGGTACTTCGATCGTATTTAGGGGCGGACCATTTGATTTTTGAGGGGTGGGTGGAAGATTCAGTCTGTGCAAGAATTTTTTTTCCGCCCAGGCGAACGAGACAGATAATTTTTTCCTGTAAAAGTGCAGCGCAAGATATTTTTTTCCCAATATATTTGGCCGCAGGATATTTTTTTTGCCTCTCATAATAACGGCTTACAGTAACTTTAGGCTTTCATATAGCTATCATCGGAGACGTAGCAGGGGTTTTCAGTCAGAGGAGGCCGAGAACTGAATCCCAAGAGGGGCCAAGGAATTTTCACTGTGCTTTATTTTATATGGTTATGTCTTAATGTTCCCCACACTAAAGCGTGCAAGTTTACTTACAAAGAATGTATAACTGCACCAAAACCTAAAACATGCAGGGATAGAGTAGAGTACTCGAAAATGGGGGAGGGTACAGTATATGAATGACCTGTAACCTTGGGGGGTTCGGGGGCATGCTCCCCCGAGAAAATTTTAAAATTTGAACCTCGGAAATGCTATTTCCTGCGTTTTCAGCCATGGATAATTATCTTAAGCCCAGATTTTCTCAGGGGGGGGGGGCAACAATTTTGCCAGGGAACACCACTGGCTATCGTATGTCAGAGGCTCCAAAGGCGGTAGAATCCTGTGATGTTATCCACTGTTCACCCCGTGTTCTTTTAAGCAAATGTGCCTGCTCAAAAATGCAAAATCTTGCAAGCCTGTGGACACAATACTGAAGTGAAGAGCATCAGTAGAGTTACATGTAGAAAATTTTTTTTTGAGCGCTCTCTTTTGCATGATATTTTTTTTTCTCGATTGTGTGCTGCATGATTTTTTTTTTCTTTCTCCTTGGGTTGCAGGAAATTTTTTTTCGAAATCTTCCACCCCCCCCTTAAAAGTCAAATGGTCCGCCCGTTATCATCATGTTATTGCTCAAATTACTGTATCTCATTTTGTCTCTATTATTTTTTACTTTATCATAAAAAATAGAACCCCCTGCAGCCTATCTTGCCAGGGCTAGGAGGGTGCGCACCCCCTCTCCCCTGCCTAAGGATTAAAGCCACAATAATATAAAACATAAACCTTGTAATTGATTTTCAGTGCGTCTCGTAACATCCAATATCGTTTTGGCTGACTTACTGACGGAAAGCGAGCATTATGACTTCACTATGTGCAACCCACCCTTTTTCGCTGATAAGTCGGAAATAGTCGGAAACCGCTCGAGAACTGGCAACCGTCCGCAGCCGAGCTCTGTGTGTACTGGGACCGAGTCTGAAATTGTGACGTTAGGGGGAGAGGTTGCGTTTGTTGGCAGAATGATCGATGACAGTTTGAGACTGGGGTCTAGAATCAAGTAAGTGTAAACTAGTGCATTAATGTTTCACTAAGCACAATATCGTACAGTAGATGGTGGTCAACTTGCAGTTATCAGAGTATAATAATGTTCATTCTTTTCAATAGATGTAGTAGTCTTATATTGGAGGAGAATAAATTAGTCTACAATTCTGGTAATCGTTCCATGTTTCGCGCACCAATATAGTAAACGTTATGTAATGGATATTATAGTCACTGCAAAGTCAACTGGATACCTCCATATACATAAAAAAACACCTTAACCCTAACCCCAACCCTAAACCTAACCCCTATCACAAACCCCTAAACTATAATGGTGCGCGAAACATGGAACGATAACCACAATTCTGACGTTGACCACCATCTGCTGCCCATAACACTTTTTGGTTAAATATAGATGGTATACAACAATGTTGGGGAAGAAATCTAGTTTGACGTCTGTTGTCGCAAAACTGAAGCAAAACAATGTAAGGAAATTAAACTTTATTCTTCGTTCCATCACTTCTAAACTGTTCTTCCAGTTAGGATCATCTCTTATTGATCCAGTGTTACTACAGGAGGAAACCTAAACTAAACTAACTTTATTTATACTGGATAGCTCTATCAGTTCTAAACTGTTCTTCCTAGAGGTCCATTAAGGATCATCTCTTATTGATTCAGTGTTACTACAGGAGGAAACCTAAACTAAACTAACTTCATTTATACTGGATGATAGCTCTATCAGTTCTGAACTGTTCTTCCTAGATGTCCAGTAAGGATCATCTCTTATTGATCCAGTGTTACTACAGGAGGAAACCTAAACTAAACTAACTTTATTTATACTGGATAGCTCTATCAGTTCTGAACTGTTCTTCCTAGATGTCCAGTAAGGATCATCTCTTATTGTTCCGTGTTACTACAGGAGGAAACCTAAACTAAACTAACTTTATTTATACTGGATAGCTCTATCAGTTCAATTCTAAACTGTTCTTCCTAGAGGTCCAGTAACTTCGGCTTTAAAACCAAAACCGGATAGGCCAAATTTGTTTCATATTATATAAACTCACAAGGCAAATAAAAAATTGACATATGGCACCTGAAACCACAAAAAGCTTTTGTACTCGTAAAAGTAAAAACCTAACTCAAAACTGGTGCTTGAACTCATTTTAACAGCAGTGAAAAAAAGCGATTCATTCGGTTATGAATACCATCTCAGTTAGAGGTATATTTGTCAATTCATGTATGAAATTTTGAAGGTGGCCACAATAATTCTTTCAAACAACGTTCGCATTTTAAAGCAACTATATTCAAGACAAGTTGGTGTCATATCAGTTAAATTAAAACCAATAGATTTGGGGGGGAAATATTGTAAGTATATTATGATTGTTTAATATTATTTATGAAATGTTTGCTTAAATATATATATTCGCAACTATATATGAGCCGTGTATAGAACACTGGATCAACAAAAGATGATCCTCACTGGACCTCTATACAGGAAGAACAGTTTAGAACTGATAAAGCTATCCAGTATAAATAAAGTTAGTTTAGTTTAGATTTCCTCCTGTAGTAACACCGGATTAATAAGAGATAATCCTTCCTGGACCTCCAGGAAGAACAGTTTAGAACTAATAGAACTATCCAGTATAAATAAAGTTAGTTTAGTTTAGGTTTCCTCCTGTAGTAACACTGGATCAATAGTAGATGATCCTTACTGAGCCTCTAGGAAGAATAGTTTAGAACTGACAGTGCTATCGAGTATAAATAAAGTTAGTTTAGGTTTCCTTCCGTAGTAATACTGGATCAATAAGAGATGATCTTTATAGGCCTCTAGGAAGAACAGATTGGAACTGATAAAGCTTTCCAGTATAAATAAAGTTAGTTTAGGTTTCCTGTTGTAGTAATACTGGATCAATAAAAGATGACTCTAATACTCTTTCTGGACCTCTAGGAAGAACAGTTTAGAACTAATAGAATTATGCAGTATAAATAAAGTTAGTTATATTTCATATAACTAACCATGACATTTCTTCATTACAGAAAGAAGCATGGTTTTTCAAACAGTATGCTTCACTTTGGTGTTGTGCTCCAGTTTGCTGCTTTGTGGAACTAGAGCAGAAAACCCGGAGGAGGGAGGTCTCAATTTCGCGCAGGCGATACTAGCAGTAGATGCACAGAAAGGGCAGTCTGGTAACATAAACTACGACACCTTTTGCCAAAAGAAAGTCGACAAGACCCACGATCAGTTGCTGGGATGTCAGCTCCCGGCACCTAATGCTGGCTTCGAGTTGCGCGTTTGTAAATTGGAAACTGGTACGTAGTCTGTGGTTGTGATAATGGTGGTTGTGAGGGGTGATAATGGTGGTTGTGAGGGGTGATAATGGTGGTTGTGGAGCTAATGCTGGCTTCGAGTTGCGCGTTTGTAAATTGGAAACTGGTACGTAGTCTGTGGTTGGGTCTCAATTTCGCGCAGGCGATACTAGCAGTAGATGCACAGAAAGGGCAGTCTGGTAACATAAACTACGACACCTTTTGCCAAAAGAAAGTCGACAAGACCCACGATCAGTTGCTGGGATGTCAGCTCCCGGCACCTAATGCTGGCTTCGAGTTGCGCGTTTGTAAATTGGAAACTGGTACGTAGTCTGTGGTTGTGATAATGGTGGTTGTGAGGGGTGATAATGGTGGTTGTGAGGGGTGATAATGGTGGTTGTGGAGATGATAATGGTGGTTGTGGGGGCGATGATAATGGTGGTTGTGATAATGGTGGTCGTGGGGGTGATAATGATGGTTGTGGGGGTGATAATGGTGGTTGTAATAATGGTGGTTGTGGGGGTGATAATGGTGGTTGTGTGGCTGATAATGGTGGTCGTGGGGGTAATAATGGTGGTTGTGGGGGTAATAATGGTGGTTGTGATAATGGTGGTTGTGGGGGTGATAATGGTGGTTGTGTGGCTGATAATGGTGGTCGTGGGGGTAATAATGGTGGTTGTGGGGGTAATAATGGTGGTTGTAATAATGGTGGTTGTGGGGTGATAATGGTGGTCGTGGGGGTAATAATGGTGGTTGTGGGGGTGATAATGGTGGTTGTGGGGGTGATAATGGTGGTTGTGGGGGGGGTGATAACGGTGGTTGTGGGGGTGATAATTGTGGTTGTGGGAGTGATGGGGACAATGGCGGTTGTGAGAGTGATGATGGGGTGAAATTTGTAGTTTTGGGTTGACGACGGTGATAATGGTAGGCGTGGTGGTGGTGAGATGATTATGGTAGTGATGAAGGTAAGGGATGTTTGTTGTAGTGGTTGGTGATTATCATGATGCTGGTGGTAATGATGATGACGGTCATGACATAATGGTAATAATGATGGTGTTGGTGATAGTTTTGGCGTTTGTTCATTTTTGTTGATGCTTTTGTTTCGTTTCTGCTGTTGTTGTTGCTGCTGCTGCTGTTGGTGTTGTCGTTGCTGCTGTTGTCGTCGTTGCTGTAGTTGTTGTTGCTGCTGCTGTTGTCGCTGGCGCGGCTGTTGTTGTTGTCATTGCTGTTGTTACTGCTGCTGTTGTTGTTCTTGCTGTTGTTACTAAAATGAACAGACTGACAAGATCCAAAACTACAATTAATTTCATTAATTTCCTCAGGATGTGAAGAGCTGGTCAATTCGAGCATATCGTTCCACGACTCAATTTTCACGGCAGGACTAAATGTGGTGAAATACAGCCAAGAAGATATACTAGATCTAAAATGCAAAGACGAAAATCCAGAAAAGACCACGTGTATTGGTTATCTTGAAGAATGGATCGAAACGGCTGGCGCGAAACTGGTTCCATTCAACGAGAAAGTTTTCAGCAAAACTGAAGACGGAATGATTTCGGAAATCAAGGCTTACCAAACAACCCCAGAAACAAAAGCAAAAACTGTAAGCGACCTACAGAAGATTATAGCATGGATGACACCGGAAGACGGCAAATGCACCCTCTACAAGCAGCTTTGTGATCTGGAGGGGTTCTTCAAGAAAACTGGCGGATTTGTGATTCATAATCCGAGCGTGAAATACAAGATGATGTTGAGCGACATCTGTCACAGTGATCAAGACGATCCAACCAACGAGAGAGTCTTGGCTGTTTTGAAAAAGTTTATTAAAGAGTTGACTCCTCCTGCTACATCAACTCCCTGAAGACAGCAATATTCTATTCATGATTTATTACGGAACTAACGGTTTATTTTAGAACGGTCATGTATGAGATATATTGACACATTCAATTTATTAAATAAAGGTGATATAGAATTAACTTGGAGATGTTACGTCTTTTTATTGTCGACAAAGTTTACCCCACTTAAAATCGTTATGTAGAAATTAATTTTGAAACAAACAACGACGATATTAATCTTATTTGATAATGACATTATCTAATTCGATATTCAACCTAAACTAAACTAACTTTATTTATACTGGATAGCTCTATCAGATACTAGATTATAGCTCTATCAGTTTTTAAACTGTTCTTCCTAGAGGTCCAGTAAGGATCATCTCTTTGTGTTACTACAGGAACCTAAACTAAACTAACTTTATTTATACTGGATAGCTCTATCAGTTTTTAAACTGTTCTTCCTAGAGGTCCAGTAAGGATCATCTCTAATGTGTTACTACAGGAAACCTAATTGATCCAGTGTTACTACAGGAGGAAATCTAAACTGAACTAACTTTACTTATATACTGGATAGCTGTTCTCCCTAGAGGTCCAGTATAAGGATCATCTCTTATTGTTCCAGTGTTATTACTGGAGGAAACCTAAACTAAACTAAACTAAACTAAACTAAACTAAACTAAACTGTTCTCCCTAGAGGTCCACTAAGATCGTCTCTTATTGATCCAGTGTTACTACAGGAGGAAACCTTAACTAAACTAACTTTACTTATACTGGAGAGCGTTAATTCTAACTGGTTTTAAACTGAATTTGGATCTTTCAAATTATAAGGTTGATCAGGCAAATAAAAAATGGACACCAGGAACTCCTGTGAACTTTGCTTTGTGCTCGAGCAACTTAAAACATTCTACCCAACAGGTGCTCGAAGTCATTCGATTAGCAACTCAGTAGGGGTTTGACAATTCGTGTATGACATTTTCAAAGTGGCTACTATTGTCTAATGTTTGTTATTTGCAGTTTATTAAAGCAAACATATTATACTGAGGGTAGGCTGACGTTTTAGCAAAATTGTCGAATCAAATTTTGGGAAAAAACATTGTGAGTACATTTTGTTTGTATATTTTGAAAATTATTAAAACTAATTTTATATTAAATATAATGTTCAGTAAATGGACTTCATGAAAAGTTCATGAGTTGCCTCAATGGGCGTTTGATTTGAATTGTGTGCGTCAATGGGATAATTACTACAAGTATAAATAAAGTTAGTTTGGTTTAAGTAACTCTGGATCAATAAGAGATGATCCTTACTGTACCTCTAGGAAAAACAGTTTAGAACTGATAGAACTCTCTAGTATAAATAAAGTTAGTTTAGTTTAGGTTTCCCCCTGTAGTAACACTGGATCAATAAGAGATGATCCTTACTGGATCTCAAGGGAGAACAGTTTAGAACTGATAAAGCTATCCAGTATAAATAAAATTAGTTTAGTTTAGGTTTCCTCCTGTAGTAACACTAGATCAATAAGAGATGATCCTTACTGGACCTCAAGGGAGAACAGTTTAGAACAGATAGAACTATCCAGTATAATTGTATAAATAAAGTTAGTTTAGTTTAGGTTTCCTCCTGTAGTAACACTGGATCAATAAGATATGATTCTTACTGGATCTCTAGGGAGAACAGTTTAGAACTGATAGCTCTCTTATAAATAAAGTTAGTTTAGTTTAGGTTTCCTCCTGTAGTAACACTAGATCAATAAGAGATGATCCTTACTGGACCTCAAGGGAGAACAGTTTAGAACAGATAGAACTATCCAGTTATAAATAAAGTTAGTTTAGTTTAGGTTTCCTCCTGCACTAACATTGGATCAATAAGAGATGATCCTTACTGGACCTCTAGGGAGAACAGTTTAGAACTGATAGAACTATCCAGCATAAATAAAATTAGCTTAGTTTAGGTTTCCTCCTGCACTAACATTGGATCAATAAGAGATGATCCTTACTGGACCTAAACTTTACCTATACAACCATATAATACCTTCTTCATTACAGCAACAAAGCATGGTTTTCCAGAAAATATGCCTTCATTTGGTGTTGTGGTGCACCCTGTGGCTGTGTGGGGTTATGGGAACAAGTCCGACGGAGGGCGGACTTAATTTCTCCCTCCCTTTACAAGCAATGAGTACACAGGCAATAGAAAGAGACTCCGTTTCGTTCGACTACGACCGCGATTGCAGAAAGAAAATCGATCTTCCCGATGACCCGATGTTTGGATGTCATCTCGAGGGAAGCCCTTATTACGAGTTGCGGGTTTGTAAATTTGAAGCTGGTACGTAAAATTTCGGGTGTTAAATTTAGATGGATATTGAATGAGAAATTGGGAAAGTTAATAATAATAATTGTACTTATCCAGGATACTCCCATGATATACGTGTTCATCGGTGAGGTCTTGCATCGCAATTACAATTATTTTCAACATTAATGGACTCAACATTATAGACTAAATTTTGATCTAAACAAGTCTAGCTTGAAAGAGCATCACAAAATTAGTAATATTCCAAAGTTTCGTTGCGAAATGTTGTAAAATACGAATAATATAGCCTTGCAAAGTTTGCCGTTTTTCAGTCATTTTCTATTACAAAACGGGAAATTGACAGCCCCAAAGGGTATTGGGCTGTCAATTTCCCCCGCGTAATACAAAATGACTGAAAAACGGCAAACTTCGCAAGGCTATATTATCCACATTTTACAACATTTCGCAACGAAACTTTGGAATATTACGAATTTTGTGATGCTCTTTCAAGCTGTGATGAAATTTCTGTCTAGACTTGTTTAGATCAAAATTTAGTCTATAATGCAAATGGTCCATTATCAATATATAAACTGTATAAAAATATACAAACATATACCAACGTTACCAACAGTGGTGTCAATTAGTAACGAAGTAAATGTGCTTGGTTACTGCAGTACCTGAGTACTATTTTTGAGAAGAACAAAGTAAATTTTTTCTGGAGTACTTTTTTTACTTGGAACGAAATCGTTTTACTGTCGTTCCAATTGAAGTGTTGCTGAAATATTGATTCAATACATTACCTCAGTCTGACCAATTCATTTGATCAAGTTCCTCGAGATATTCCTGATACACTTCCTGTGAAAGAGCCAATTCCAAGTATTTGATCATTTCTGGTCACTTCCTTTCTATTTATGATTGCCGGGTTAGTTGCACAAACAACAAAGGTGATTGATGCATTCAAACTATTCAACAGGAAGTTTACAATTATACTGGGAAGTGTATGAATATCTCGAGGAACTTGATGAAATGAATTGGTCAGCCCGAGGTAACGTATTGAATCAATATTTGAGCAACACTTCAATTGGAACGACAGTAAGAAGTAACGTTTTACTTCGTTATTTTCATTTTGTGGCGAAGTATTTCGTTACTTTCTAACTTTTGTTTAATTTTTACGTGATTTATTCCAAATTTATTTTAATTTTGGGATAGGTAATAGGACCTCTACATGCTCTGGGATCTCTCCTTTGTGGCTTACTGATGAGCATTATTTATTTAATGGATTTCTTATATCTTCAATGGCGTCTGGAAAGTATAGACCATGCCGCGAAATATTGTATATTAGGTGCACGGATATAATGCGTGTGCTGTTTTGTGTCTAATTGTGTATGTCAATCCATTGGAGAAGTGTCCCCCCCCCCCCCTCTACACACTACAGACAATAGTACTTTTACTTTTTACTTCAAGTATTTTTAAGGATACTTTGAGGACTGGATCAATATAATTCACCAGCTATCCAGTATTATAATATAGTCATCCACGTGCCGTATATGAGCTGTTCTGCAATCTGATTGGTTGAATTACTCGCCGTATATCAGCTCATATATGGCGAGTAGCGAAAAACAAGATGGCGGTCCAAAAACTACATGAGTTTTGCGAAGCAGAAAAAGGAAAATATTCGCTTTGAAAAACATAA